TCAAATACAGAAATTTCAAATCAAATCAAATTCAAATTGACAAAATATTTGATTCGATTTGACTTTGAGGAACCCTAGCATTTACTTTATAGTATTATATTACTATATTTTAGTATTGGTTAGGCCTCCGCATAGGCTAGGTAATAGAAATACCCTAGCCCTACCTGTTTGTGTAAGGGTTTAACTTTTGAGCCCTTACCCTTACCCTAGAGCCCAAACCCCAATACCCTAACCCGGCCTGTCGGGCCCACAGGTACCCATGAACTACCTGTGGGCCTAAATTTACTAATGTAAAATTACAAGTGCAATAATAAAACCTGCGAAGTATTGCTACCAAAATTAGATACATATGTTCAAAGCTTAAATTTATTACTAATAATACGATTTATACCTAAAGTAATATAGTATGAGGTGCGAATATAATTAAGTATATAGGATACAATTAATTATTATACTCACGTATATAGTAAAGCTATCGTACTAATGTGTAGTAAAACTATTTTATCGATCATAGTAAACCTATACTATACTTGTGCATATATAGCAATAAATACGTAATTTTTGTTAAACATTGATTATTTGAAAGATATCAATATTAAATTAAAATATTCAGAATAATAGAATAGTCAATTGCATGTGACGAAAGATTGATTATTCAAATAATTCAAATAATACGGTATTGTTTGTAACGATAGTTTTGAGAATCTCTTTCACTTAAACTTTTTTGAACGGGTAAAATATGCTGTTTAAATACACATTTTGAGAATTCTGAAATTTTTATTGAATAAAGATAAAATTGCAATTTTTAGAACATAAAATGAATAATTTTACTATTCAAATTATTGGTAGAATTTAAATGATTAACGAAAAGGATCTTGAATGGCTGAAAAGTTTTGAAAGTTATGGAGCTGTTGATGCAAATAACAGCTTATAATATTTTAAAAAATAAATATTTTAATAATATTGACTTGCAACATTAATTATACATTAACATACCAATGGAAAAATTGGAATATAAAACATATACTTTTTAATTGAAGAAAGAATCAAGCTTAACTAGTTCAAAAGCTATTGCAACTTGAACTTTTACATTTTACTAACACTATCACTATAAAATATTAATTCAAATGCTATAATTTTTTAGACTTCGCCTCAATTTATTCCTATTAGAATTATGATAATTGGCAAATTTTTTTCGCTATTAAATCAAGCATGGTTACAATTAAACATTTATAGTAAGAATTTTTCTTACAGAGAAAAAAAAGATAAAAAAATATGTATATCTATCATGCCAAAAAATTCTCAACCTTATAAACAGTATAAAACGTTCTTTCTTTTTTTTTCTATTTTTTTCTTTTTTTTTTTTCTTTTTTTTTTTTTAAAAAAATGCCGTATTTAGTTATTACTAATAACCTGTTGAAGCGAAAAAGCTAATTATAATTGAGATAGGATGCATTATTTGCAATTTATTAGCATCCTATCTATGATATTGAAATTCGGCTAAGACAAGGTGTAATATTGGAATATTCTATCAAGCAAATTGAAGATATAAATTTAAATCCGTAATCTTTAGAAAAATGCCAGTAACAAAGATTATTTATTTAATTAGTGCTATATATAAATAGTATAAAACAGCAAGTTTAGGTTAAATTTTTTTTACATTATAAGTCACATCCAAATTTTGTTGCCGCCTCTAACCAATTTCGCTGATATATTAATGCTGTTATTGTGTCTGGGTTTAATGAAGCACGATAATCATCGATAATATGTCCTGCGCAGCTAAATATTTGTTTAGATGCAACGCTAGTAAATGGTATCATGAGAAAGTCTCGAGCCATTACTGACAAAGTTGGAAAGCGATCTTCATTGAGTTTCTACCATTCAAGAACATTAGTAGGTTTAGTTGCAGTTTGTTCATTTAAATATTGATTAACTTCATGAAGCATATTATCTTCATTAGATTGAGAGTTTCTTATTGTATATTCAAAAAAATCACTAATATGATCTTCAAGCATTAATGTATCATCTTCAACACTAATAGCTTCATGACAAGTTGAACGTTTAATTGCTAGTGGAGAATAGTAAGTTTGAAGATATATAGTTTTGAATCTAATTATTAAATTATAAATAATATTAATAGTATAAAGGTATAAATAATTAAATTAATAAATATATACTTTTTTTTAATATCTTGCATTTTTTCATTAAGATCATTCGATTCTAATTTTTCTTTTTCATGATAAAAGAATAAAATAAATTGTAACTTATAACGAGGGTCAAGTATGCATGCAATAATATATAAAAAATTACTATCGTCCCAATATTTATTAAACTTTTCCATCATAGGTCCAGAAATATCACAGATAAAGTTATCAGTATGATATCTCATATTGAGAAGATGAATACAAATATTTAAAATAGAAGCGAAGATATTGTTGAGAGTTGAATACGAGTTTGCCGATGCTTTTAGAGTATCTGTTTTTTTTTAAAAAAAAAAATTCTTTAAACAAAACTAATAATATGTTTTACTTAATATAAATTTATTAAATAAAATACATACAATCATAAAATGGGTTTAAGATGGTACAAATATTATCTGCTTTCGTCCATTCGTTTTCTTCAGGTAAATCAGGGAAAGTTCGATCATGATCTCCCATTCAAATAATCATATTCTTCATTTTTATTGCTAATCGTAACATTGTGAAGGTAGAATTCCAATGGGTATCACAATCTAATGATGGAATAATAGGATTTTCGGACTCATATTCACAGATATCTAAATATGCTTGACGTTGCCTTGGAGTTGAGTGTATTGCTTTAACACAGTTGCGAATCTAAAAAAAATTAAGTAAATACTGTAATTAAAAAATTATTAAATAGAAGCTAGATAATATATAATTACCTTGTTAATTTCTCCTAAAATTTTTTTAAACCATCTTTCACAATAAGGTTTAAAATATGAGCAAAACAGCGGTTATGGAAAAGTTCTTCATTAATATTAATAAGCGAATCTTGAGAAATATAATCAACTAATTCATGAATTGCAACATTATTCGAGCCTGTATTATCAAGAGTAATAGTTTGTAGCTATTATATAAATAATGAAAATTTGATTAAAATAAGTCAGAATTATCGTTATAAATTACTCTATTGTATCGTATCAGAAAAATATATAATTGGCTAATTACGATTTCACTATGTAATAAATTCTGATATAGTATTTATAGTATATCTTATTAGTAATTAAATGTTCATCCGTTTCAACTTTAATACAATTAGCAATATTAACCCCAGAATAAGGAAATGGAATCAGTTTAAATGATAGTAAAACAAAAACAAGATTCCAGTTTTTATTAATAAAATGCACCGTAACCGCCAAATATCCAAGTTGCTGAACCGAGGTCCAAATATTACAGGTTAAAGAGATTTTACTATCTACATTTTGAAGTTCTTTTTTAATAAAAGCCTTTCTTTTATCATAGGCTTTAATAACATCTCATTTTACTGTATCAGCACTAATAGTAAAATTAGGCAATACTCTATTAAAAAATTTTTGAAATCCTTGTTTTTCCGCGAACTGAAAACTTAGTTCATCTCTAATTATCAGTCAACTATATTTTTATGACATAAGTCTTTTGATGGTTGTGTAACGAATATACTAAAATCTAATTGTGTTTGACCATCTGATGGATTTGGTGGATTTGATGAATCGCCATTAGATGCTTGATACCTTCTACATGCTTTGAGATGACGTCGAAGATGAGATATTCTGGTGCCTTTTTTATGGCTAAATTTGCTTTTACAGTATTTACATATAGCTTTTTGTTCATTTGTCATTAAAGAATAATGCTTCCAGACAGGAGATGTATATTTTTGCAAACTAGTTAGATCAGTAACAATTGATTCTGATATATCTGATCTAACAATTGCAGAAGCAGAATCATCAGGACTTATTGTATTATCTTCATTATAGTCATAGTTATCTGTATTGGCTTCATTATAGTCATAATCATCCATATTATAAACTTTTTTTTTTTAGAGAAATTTTATTCAACAATGGAGTTTTTTTAAAAAAATTAACGATGAATTAGTGGTAAGTGCTTAGTAAGTTTTATATTTATTAGCGAATTCGTTATAGGTTCATTAATAGATCTTTAATAGTAAGTTTATAATAATGAATTAATTAAACCAACAAA